AGTGGGGGCCTTTCACAAAAGTCCCAATTTCTCATGTGGTCTCCTTGGAAAAATTAATTGCCCATCCCTGGCTTACTGCCTTCTAGATCAGGGGTCCCCAATCCCCAGTCTGTGGACTGGTACCAGAACACGGCATACTAGCAACCGTTAGCTGTTAAATGTACTTTTAATGACAGGAGACAGAATTGGTTCTTTTTGCTCGCAAAGCAGTTTAATTGCCCATATTGAATCAGGGCGCAATCCGGAACCTCCTGGATTGTCAATTCCTATTCAAGGAACAGGTGATAGCTCTGGCCAGAATTGCCTTTGCACAGCTATGTATTGTGTGTCAGTTGTGTCCTTTCCTAAACCACAACAACCACAATCTATTCATGGTTGCTCCTGCTCTAGTCTCCTAAACAGACTACTGCAATGTGCTTTATGTGGGGCTGCCCTGTAGCATCTGGAAGCTACAAATGTACAGAATGTAATGATGGGTACTCCTTGATCAGCTCATGTTACACATCTTGTTTTCCAACTTCATTCGTTGCCAGTTTGTTTCTGGGTGAGTTCAAGGGGGCTGGTTATAAATTATAAAGTCTTTTATGGCATGGGATTGGGTTCTTTGAAGGACTTCCTCTGCCTAATTATTTTCCACCCCTATCCCATTAGATCTGGCAGAAGCAGCATAGTCCAGATGCTACCGGTTAAAAAGTGCCATCTGGCCTTTTCTGTCTTGGTGCCCATCATTTCACATATTCCCCCAAAGGTTAAGCTGGCCCCAATTTTTGTAAGACTTGCAAGATGTAGTGTGTGTGCCTATGTGTGTCAGGAAATGGTTCTGAGTCCATACATGGGTTATTCAGATTTGTTATTACTAGGGTTATTTTTACTTGACTTTAATTTAAGTCTCTTGTCTTTCTATTTTTTATGTTTTATGCCTTTTTTTTTCAATATTGTTAGCAGCTCAGGGTAATGAGTTTGAGAAAAAAGTCTTACCGTTTAAATATGAGAACTATTTTGCTTTTCCTATAACTAAGATATAAGAGATGCTAAATTATGCTTTCCCAGCCTGGCCAATAGTTGTGATAAGTGATTTTCATAATTATAACTTTTATTCCTTCCTATCTCATCTATGACTGAAATGTTGTATAATAAAAAAAAATCCAGATATATGAGTAACAAAGGTTCTGCATTAATAGCATTATGTTTCATAGTTCACCATAAACTGCTTTCCATTAAAAGGAATCAGTTAACATTTAGACAGCAAACATTATAAATCCATGGAGTTAAGAGATCAAACTAAAATGACACTAGTCAAAGAGAAATGTATTAAACGAATGGACTTGTAATCTGTAGATATTGTTGGGGAGATAAACATCTGCTACCAAGCTTTATTTTGGTTGGATTCCTCTTCATTTGCATTGCCAGCCCTTGTAAATATTGGAAGTATTTTGAAAGCAGCTTGAGACACAGGATTTACAGATGGGTGTCATTAAAAGCAGCCTCTCCACAGATATATAGATAGCTGGTTTGAAACATTACCATATTTTCCGGCGTATAAGATGACTTTCTAACCATGCAAATCTTCTCCAAAGTCGGGGGTCACCTTATACGCCGAGTCGTCTTATACGCCGGAAAATATGGTACTTTGAAATTGCATGAGAATCATTTGTCTGGCAGTAGAGCAGCTGTATAAATATATGTTTAACTAATCATTCATTGGTATTAAATTCAAATCATTCTTATTATTAAGAATCCACTTCAAAGAATGGTTAAGTAGTAACTATTTTTATTAATTTGTAATAATTGATGGTTTCTAGCCCATCATTTATCTCTCATAATAGTTTGAAGCAATTCTTTCTGTGCTGATTTAACAGGCATTTTTACTTTCTTTAATAAATAATTTTACTTGTTAGGTTTAAATAATAAAAGTGGCATCTATTAATCTCACAAGTATCAACATTTTATACAATTAGGTAAGCCTAATAAAGAATATTAGTGTTATTATGCTAGTTGGAAAATATTAGTAATGCTGACCAATATCTGGAGGCTGGGACTGGGAGGCTAAAACATATAAAGAATGATTTCTGGAATTGGGTATGTCTAGTTTAATGAAGAGAAGGGCAAGAGGTGATATGATAGCTGTGTTCCAATATCTCAGGGGTTGCCACAAAGAAGAGAGAGTCAAGCTATTCTCCAAAGCACCTGAAGGCAGGAGAAGAAGCAATGGATGGAAACTAATCAAGGAGAGAAACAACCTAGAACTAAAGAAAATTTTTTTGACAGAACAATTAATCAGTGGAACAACCTGCCTCCAGAAGTTGTGAATGCTCCAACACGGGAAGTTTTTAAGAAGAGACAGCCATTTGTCTGAAATGCTATAGGATTTCCTGCCTGAGCAGAAGGTTGGAGTAGAAGACAGTCATTTATCTTTGCTTGCCAACACTGAATATCTATTTTTATTTCACCGTTTGGTCTGTTTTCTCAACCTGGCAACTTCCAGATGTGAAAACTTCAATTCCCATAACTTCTTAGCCATCTTGGTGCCAATGTTAAAAATTCAGAGCATTGAAGTCCATGTTACTTGGAGTCTTGCTTTGATCTACCCTGTTCTTGTTTCTGCTAAGTAGTAAAGAAACAGATTTATCTTGCTGATTCAGATTTAGACCAGGACATTTTAACTTCTGTGGGGTCCTTGGTGCTCTCTGAGTTTGATTATTTTCTTGCAGACATTTCAGTACCCAACTAGGTAACACCATCAAAGCTAGGATGAGCTGTGTGAAGCATTTTACCCACATATGGTATCAATAAAAGAGAATATTTGTAGCTCAGAGCTGAATTGTGGGTCTGTGTTGTTCTCTGAGCTTGACTGTTTCTTGCAGATATTTCATTACACAACTAGGTAACATTATTGGTGCTATTCAACCTCTAGTAGTGTATCATTCTGTAACATTGACCTGAAGTTAGCATTTGATGCAATTCTAAGAGAAAAATTGGGGAGGCAACTTCGTTTGACTTCCTGTTACTTGGATAGATCATACTGCTCCATGAAAATATTTACATGAATGTTAAATACAATACCAGTGAAATCCTTGCTAATCTTATTCCCATCACATTAGCACTTTAATAGAGTAGAATTCTTGACCCATTAGTCATAAACTTCTATTTTAACAGTATTATTTAGGCTCTTTCACAAAACACATTTCATGCACCGAAACTGACACACTGTCCCATCTCTACATTACTGTTGATGCCATTCTTTCTGTCTTAAGTAGAACTTTAGCAAAGTGTCCAAATATAGGTAGCCCTTGACTTATAATCAGAAGTTTAATTATCTTTTGAAGTTACAATGTATTTTTAAAAGGCTTCTTACAACCTGTTCTCAAAGTTATAACTACCTCTGCAGACATATACACACACCCTGACGCCGTCATGTCATTGCATTTTGGACACCAGGCAACTGGCTGTATTTGTGATCCGTTGCAGCATCTTATGGTCATGTGATTTATGATTTGCATCGTTTTTTGGCAGTTTCCAGTTTTTACTAATCAAGAGCAGCAACGCATGATTTCTTCTGGCCAGCTGAGAAGATGACTGGTTGCCCATTTTTTTTTCCTGTGATGCATTATAAGGGAATCATCATAGCATTTATGACTTGTGCAGACACATGTTCTGGTTCATCTGCTGTGCTTCCTTTTATTTTAGACAAGTAACTTTAATTCCAGTTGGGCATTACACACCATCTTCCATAGTCACTATCCTCCATGATCACTTTTTGTGCCCTTCTAGCTTCCTGCTTCCTTCTGAAGGTACTTCAAACAATGGATCTAGGAAGATGGACCAATCAAATGCTGTTTATTTTTCCTTCCAAAATTTAACTGATGGACTAATAAATGGTGAACCCTTTGCTCCCAGTTTTTTAATAAGATGAAATTGGGAAGATTTCCTCCAATGTTCCCTTCTAGTCCGAGTGTCCAACACACAGGAAAAATCTTAAGATATTTAATTTAATAGCTGGCGCAGTTAAAGGTTGGACAGTGAGTAAGAACACTGGTTGAAGAGAGTTGGCCAGTTGCATGAGGGAATCTGAACTGTGATTGGTTACTGTGAGTGAAAAGAGGGAGTTTCCTTGTTTCCCGCCTTTTTTCCTCTGTGTGTCCTGGGTGTTCGATAATTTACCTCATGATGTTCCTGCTGTGGTGATTTTCCTGATGATGTAAATATATATAAAACTACCAGTTCATGTCAGCATCTGTAACTCCATTTGGATACCTGCTGCGCAGTTCCCTGACAAACTGGTACAACTGTTGTTTTGTTATTCATTGGTTTTCCAATGGATACACCTGAAGGGAAAATGCCAGGAATAAGAGGACTTTTCTACACTGTAAGCCATATATCACTGGATGCTGTATATTTTAATAGAAACTCACCCACATAAAGGAAAAAGTATTTGCTTTCCTGGTGTGAATAGGAGTAAAGAAGCAGAGAATTTAGAGATTGTGGTAAGCAGTCTGGATAGACCAGGGGTAGGCAACCTTGGCTCTTTTATGACTCGTGGTCAACTCCCAGAATTCCTGAGTCAGTATGGCTGACTCAGGAATTCTGGGAGTTGAAGTCCACGAGTCATTAAAGAGTCAAGGTTGCCTACCCCTGGAATAGACCAACAAGCATCATTGTGAACTAAGCAGAGGGAGGGATTAAAATCCTGGATGGTAATTTCTTAGGCTAATTTCATTTCTAGTTGGTCAGGAAGCTTAAGATTTTAGTATAAAAAAGTCCTATGAAATGCAATAATATTATAACGAAATCCATTTTTTCCTGACAGTTTTGCAAAATTGAAATTGGAAAACTGGCATGTTTATGATTTTCATTATCAAAACATTAAAAAACAGAAACAATAGATATTTTTGTGACTTGATTACTCTCCCTAAATAGCTCTGGAGGGTTGTTGGTATTGTTCTTTCCTCTGGAAACATTAATTTTCTCAACAAGTTGAATGTTTTCTACTTATTTTTCAGGATGTGCTGGGGTCTGGGATAACATTACCTGCTGGCGTTCTGCAGAAATTGGAGAAACTGTAACAGTCCCTTGTCCGAAAATCTTCAGCAAATTTTTCAGCAAACAAGGTATTTAAATGTCTTTCTGTAATTTGGACTGACGTGTATCTTTGGTTTCTATGTGATTTAAATGTTGGAAATAATGGTTATTTCATTAGGTGGGATACAGATTGAAAGGAAAATGCATTTGACAGGTGCCTCTTAAGATGTGTTTTAAGACAGGTACAACCACCACCTGTTGTGGTGGCATGTACCTTTTTTGTTGCAATTTCAGATACTGACTATATCTAGAAAATAGTCTTGAACAAAGTTAAGGACAATGAAAAGTATTTTATAGCTTTGAAGTTTAATGAAAGGAAATTCTTTTCTCTGATCATCTGTTGGTTTTTGATAAGTTTTTTACTGTGAAGATATGGGAAATCTAGCAGAGTATTTGAAAGTCAAATTCATTTTCTTGCATACTTAAAAGAATCACAAAGAGGTCCTGTACTATGCCCCTTATTCTGGGATCAGATCTGTGCTTTCTTTTTTGTTCCAGTATTAACCACCCCGCCATTTCTTTAATGTATGAATGGATGATATATTTGCCAACATGTCTGGCTAGGGGACTCTGGGAGCTGAAGTCCACATATCTGGAAATTGTCAAGATTGAGAAACACTGCCCTGAATGGAAAAATAGGCACTGATAGACTCCTGCCCCATATGGGGCCAACCGATAAAGTTTGCCCTCCTGCCCAGAAGCAGAGAAAAAACTGATCAAGCTTTGAATGGCCATAGGTCACCAATCTAGCCTTGTTGAGGATGATTACATTCTGGATTGGAATTTGTTAAGTCATCTTCAGAAACAACTCTGGTCAATGGAGGAGACAAGCAGATTAGGCTGACACATAGGATTGTCCAAAAAACTCTTCCTCAACTTTAGTCCTTCTTCCATGTTTGGATGAGTCTTTTAAAAAATGCATTTTTACCATTCTTGTGTGTCCGATGTGCATTAATCTCTGACTAGTAATTCATCACAGGAACTGAAGCCTTTGATACTCCTGCCATAGGTCATTCAAAATCACTTTAAATAATGATGTTGAGTAATGAGAGGCTTTTATGGAGACAATTTAATTTAAATTATTCTCCCATCCGGCACATTTATAGCCTCAGATTAGTTGTATCTAAAGCTACATATGTTTACCAAATGATCTTTAAATGTTAAACGAATTTTTCTGGCCACCGAGTTTCCTTGAGTAACGAAGAAGGAATCAAAGTCAGTTTGTGCAATAAGCTAGGCCTATCATGACAAGCAAGCAACACTTTGCATGGGTGCAATAAATAGTGTAGTATCAAAGGAAGTCCAGGAATGTGAGATTGCAAAGAAAAATTTACTGGAGTGATGTATTTGAGAATCATTTTTGTTTCCAAATCAACCTACCTCAAACTGAATTATATACATATGGTTCTGTTAGGTGCAAAGAAACATTTTTATATAAAGCTTTCCTTTTTTCCTCAAAAATGGTTTATTCCCAGTTTCAATATCTTGTTTGCTCTAATGGCCAGCTTTTTTACATCCAAATCTTGACAGTTGGATTGATCTTTTGGATTTTGACATTGTCTTGTCTGGTGAGTTATGGGTTGAAGCTTTGATTACCTTAGCTTCGCTTTTTAATAAGCTATACTTTCTTGCTGAATCTTATGACATGTTGATTATGTGGGAGAAACTTTAATCCATCCAACTAAATATCACTGGGTTACATTGCTATTAAATTTTGTCTGATACATTTGGATACAAAGTAGAACAGCTTTCCTAAAGTATTATTATTCCAATAGGAAAAACACTTGGAAATACAACATATTATCACCTAGCACTGATCAGAGCTGTGCTAATTGTCAATGTCAGTTAGGAGTCTCAGAGTTGTAGTCTCAATTTATCTGGAATCCATGAGGTTAGAGAAGATTAAATAATTTAATAAAAGTAAAAGATCTAACAAAGTTTTAAGGTTAGAAGTTTTGTTGACTTATTGGCGGTGGGAATGCATGATGCTCATAAAGTATATTGCAGTTCTCCCTTGTTCATTTTCTTAGGAAACATCAGCAAAAATTGTACAAGTAAAGGATGGTCAGAGATGTTTCCACATTTTTTCATTGCTTGTGGATTCAAAGATATCGAAGACAACCCGGTAAGAAAAACTTGTTGAAAAATACTAAACAACCATCTTCCTTTTTAAGAGATCTGGTAATTGTATGACAGGAAATAAATACAAACGTCCATCTGATTGCATGTTAACCACTGCGTTATTAGCTTCTTTAGGGAGATGTTCTGTACTGATTGTCTTTGCCTCTCTAGAGAAGTCAGGTTTTTGAAGGTTAGGTTGTAATTCCTTTGCTTCCAAGGTATCTTAGCTTTATGGTAGTTAACACAGAACTTTTACTCTTATGGAATCTTTTTTCTCTCTATAGCAGGGGTGTCAAACTGCTGGCCCAAAGGCCAGAAGCGTCATGCGGAAGCCGTGCTCACCCCATTGCTGGCAATGGCGAAACTCTCCCGATACGTTGCACGACGTCATGTGACATCGCGAGTTTGACATGTCTGCTCTATAGAAATGGGGTCTTGCCTCTTTTTTTTTTTTTTTTACTGCAGAGCAGTGTTTCACAATTTTGGCCACTTGAAAATGTGTGGACTTCAATTCCCAGAATTCTCCAGTCTGCCATGCTGACTGAGGAATTCTGGAAGTTGAAGTTCATACAGTTCCAAGTGGCTAAGGTTGAGAAACACAGCTGTAGGGGATCATTTCTCATTATAACTTTATTACTTCCTCTTGTAATGACATTCTTTGAAACGATCAGAACAGAAAGTTTCCAAAGCCCATCCTGGAGATATGACTTCTATGAATATGTCAGATTATATGTGGTTTCTACCTGTAATTCTTTTACTTAATAAATCTTTGAGAAAGTGACATTCTGGCAAAAATGTCTGTGTGCTTTCTCTTGTGAGTTTTGACAGCTATATTTCTGGTTTTTCTCATCAAGATGCATCAGGGCTATCCATGTGTGAACATATGTCATGCGTACATGTCTTGTATAAATATGGCAGCTGCCTGTAGGCTTATTCTGAAGGATTTTTTTTTAAAGAAAAAAATGATTGTTTCATGAACTTTGTAAATTAAGGGATTTCTAGAAGGCTAAACAGTTGTAAGTTCTCATGGAAGTGGAATGAGTTTGTTCTTCCAGATGGTCTTTGTCATTCTGTATGTCTGGAATACCTCCTACTAACACATGTTGTGGCCCCTGTCCAAAGCTCCTTCTCAAATAGCAGATCTTACACTTATTAGCCATTGTGAGCCTTTGAGGTAGTCCAGATAATTAGCAAGACAGTGAATACTAAGCCTATCTTTATTGTAAAGTTACATTAACAGAATCTAGCAGTCTGAATATCCCTTGTGACTCTCACTTTTGCTCTTGAAAAGTAGGAAAGGCCCCTTCTGAGGTGTTTTATTTTACTGTACGCCTTCAGACTCGAGTTTTCTTTATCAGACCAATCTAGTCTATGGCTTTTCTTCCTGTCTCCTAAGATCATACCATTACAGAATGAATGGAGCAAAAAAAAATTAGATGCTGAAAGGCATTTGGGGAAGGCAAATGGCACAATGGGGAATTTGACAGCCAAGCACAAAGATGCATTTATTAGAAGGAAAGCTGGTGAAGATGAACTCCTCTAATCCTTTAGGATGATGTCTGTATTTCATCTTGCTTTTTGTCTTTTTCTTGGGCATGGGAAAAAAGAATTTTTATTCTATTAGAATGCCTATGGCAGTGGTGGCAAACCTATGACACGGGTGCCTGAGGCGGCACTTGGAGCCCTCTCTGTGGGCACACGGGCCATTGCCCCAGCCTCACCTCCCCCGTGACCCCCTCCTCTCCAGCAGCCCCCCTGAAGGAGAGTCGCCCTTGAGCGTGGCCCACGCGGAGCAGTGCAGCCAAGGACATGGCAGCCAGGTAGCATAGACAAGACTCTGCCCTCACACTCCATTGTGCACAGTTGATGCTGCAGGGCGCGGGCAGAGGGCATGACCACCATAGTGCTGCTGGGCTGCCTGGGCGATCTGCGGTGGGCCCTAGATGCGGTGAGTGGTCCTGCAGGCAGGCGGTGTGGGGGATGGGGGGGCAGGGGTGGGGCAGGGGCGGGGCCAGTTTTTGGGCAATTGGTCTCTAAAAGGTTCGCCATCACTGGCCTATGGAATCCATGTAGAAATATAAGAACCCTCATTATGAGTCTTTCTATTTTTAAACTACTAACTAATGTTTAGAAATAACCAGGCCACTGTAGGAATTCTCAAGAGGCAAACAAGTGCAATTCCATACTGGTGCAAACAAGGTTATATCTTTCTGATAAAGGGGTATTAGAAACTCAAAAGCTTGCACGCTGTTTTATTCAATCTTCTTTCAGCTCTTAACTATAATTATTTATATCCCAAAAGGTAATAGAAAGTTACTTACTTTGTACAACGTATAGCATCCTAAGGTGGTGGCTGTCTTGGGCAGCTGAAAATGAAGATAATATTTAAATGGAAGGTATATCAACTATTCTACCTTATCTTGAATGAAATTTACTAAAATTATTATAAGAGAAATAGCTTTTGGTAGTCCAAAAGAAGAATTCAGTTATTTTACTTTTCCAGAGAATAATTTAATTAGCATTTCTTCTTCAGCCAGTTACTTGCCTAAATAATGCAACCTTACATTTATATTATGAATGGATTAAAAAAAACTCTGCTCTGTCCCACATGTTCACCTCTGGATGGAAGGAGAAATTTAAAAACAAGCAAATCAAAACTATAGAGCACGGTTCTGGACAAGTGAATCATTCATTCATTATAGAAATGTATAAATACTATTTTAGTATATTGTTCTTATTTGCTAATAGAAATGAAATAAAATATTTGATTTCTTATAGTCAGAGTTAAATTGTAGGTGAAGAAAAACATTGTAGAAGCATGAAATACAGCATATTTTTCCCTGAAGTATTTATCTCTGAATCCATATAATTGTGAGAGGGAGCGCTTTTAAACCAGTATATTACAGCATAGAAAGATGACGATGATTAGAAATATATTTAAAACTGTTTTCTATGGAAGGATAGGAGACTGCCTGGTTTTGTTTCCCATCCATTAATTTTTTGAGAACTGACTTATAGTTTTGAATCCTCAAGTATAGCAGATTAGAAGGCATCCATGATTTATCTAACATATTCCTGTTATTTGGGACTAAAACTGTCAGAATTCCAAGCCAACATCCCTCTGGAAAGAGTTGATCAGTTTCAGTAAACTTAGTATAGCAATAGCACTTCTTAGACTTATATACTGCTTCATAGTACTTTATAGCCCTCTCTAAGCGGTTTACAGAGTCAGCATACTGCCTCCAGCAATCTGGGTTTTCATTTTACTGACCTCAGAAGGATGGAAGGCTGAGTTAACCTTGAGCCAGTGAGACTTGAACTGCTGGCAGTCAGCAGAAGTAGCCTGCAGTGCTGCATTCTTAACTACTGCACCACCACAGTTCTTACGATGTAATAATTTGCTTCTTCGACTTAAGGCACCAGGTTAGAAGGCAAGAGATCATGAATTCAAATCCCATCTTAGCCAGGAGAGCCAACTAGGTGGCCTTGGGCCAGCCACTCTCTCTCAGCACAACCCACTTTACAGGATGGTTGTTGTGGAGAAAACAGGAGGAAGAAGGTGTGTTGGATATGTTTGCTTCCTTATTTGTAAAAATAATAAAGATGATATATAAATAAATAAATTTATTCTCCAATATACAGTGGGGCAAAAAAGTATTTAGTCAGCCACCAATTGTGCAAGTTCTCCCACTTAAAAAGATGAGAGAGGCCTATAATTGTCATCATAGGTAGACCTCAACTATGAGAGACAAAATGAGAAAACAAATCCAGACAATCACATCACTGGCCTCTCTCATCTTTTTAAATGGGAAAACTTGCACAATTGGAGGCTGACTAAATACTTTTTTGCCCCACAGTACTTTAATTTGTAAATTCTTTGTACCAGCATTGTTCTTCATCAGCTTCTTTTATAATAAACCTTTTAGGGTTGCCCAAACCAGGGCTCTGTAGCTTAGATCAGAACTCGTTGGACTTGAATCTCATGCTTTCAGTTTTGACATATGTGATAAAGCTGCCTATTCCCAATATCTGCCCTGTTCCCACAGGATGACCATTGGATTCGCCTGGATGGGAAGTAATATAAAAGGCTTTTTGTTGGAATGAAACTTTGTTTAATAACATTTTCCTCATGGATTATGTCTATGGAGATTCTGAATCATCCAGGTCGTGGTTGTCCCAAAGGTGCCTTTCAAAGGAAATTGGAATTTCTTGGTTTTTAATATCAGTTGAAAAAAACAGCCCAGTGAAATCACAAGTACTTAAAAAATGAAATTCAGAATGACTGTGATAGAATTTGAACTCAAGCTAAATCCAAGATACTTAGTACTTTTTGTTAAGCCTAGTACAATCAACTGCTTCTTTAATCAAAGAAATGAAAGATAAGGTCTGGATAGCTACATCATCATTATGTAGGAATAGATGCTATTAAGCATCCTTAAATATCCTTCCTACAAGGAAAATTTGATAGATACCGCATAAATGAAATAATAAAATAATTGCCTAGTAACAAAGTATATCATGAGGAATCCAATTTTGCATATTATTTGCTATTCTAATGCTAGTCTTCCAAGCAACCCCCAAAGACATGTTATCTCTATCTCATTTTATCCTTACAATCTTACAAGGTAGATTACCTAGAAAGACACCTTTTAATTACTTAGGATTTTAAGTAATGCAGACTTTCAACAGCATTTTTGTCATCTAAAATATAATACTGTCTAAAATATAATACTGCACCAGGCAAACTGGCCATATTACTTTCAGTCTGATATTGGTACAAACCTTGTTTTGCAAAACAACAACACCCTACTAAAATAATGAGGATTGCATTAAGAAAACACTTGTGTTAATCCTGTTATTTTTTACCCTCCCAATGTGCATTTCCATGAATCTTTCCATGAAAAATTTTCTAGTTATCCAAGTCAAAAATAACAAGTCTTTTCTGTTTGGAAAAAGCACTAAATGAGAGTTGTAATTAATTATGGCATTGTAAAATGTATACCTTGTGAGTAGTTAGGAATAGTAATGTAGACTAAACATGAATATACTTGAAATTCTTAGTACCACCTAGTTTACTTTACTTCTTAAATAAATACCTCTCTGCCAGGAAAGGGGAAGAGAGAGAGAGAGATTATGATAATCCTTATTTTAGAATTCCTCTGAATTACATGGAATCTTAATTTTTTTCCTAATAAAAATATAGTTCAATTCAGTTCAATTCGATCCTTATAGCTCCTATAATTAAAAGCAGTTTTTCATAGAAACATTCGTCAACTTCTGAACCCTAATCTATCAGAGGCATTATTATAATGAATGTTCTTTGCAAAAATGCCCAGAATCTTTGGATGACTAATAAAGGACCAAAAAAATTGGCTACGCCCTACATCAGGGCTTTTCAACCTGTTCACCTATTGTACCAGTTTTAGGATATGGCAATATCCGAGTACCACCAGTTGCCTAGCATGGTGTCAAAAACTTGATGACCCCCCCCCCAAAAAAGGAAAAAAGTGATAAAGTACAGGCAGTCCTCGACTTACAACAGTTTGCTTAGTGACTGTTTGAAGTTACAATGGCACTGAAAAAAGTGCCCCCCAAGGCACAGCCGAGCAAGATACCTGCCTGCCCGCCCAGCGGCGCTGTCATTCCCCTCCCCTGCTACCACTTTTCTAGGATGATCGCGTATCATCTGCCAGGTGCCAATGTACCACAGGTGGTACCCATACCACTGGTTGAAAAGCCCTGCCCTACATATCTTTTGTCTAATGCAGGGGTCTACAAACATGGTCCTTTTATGACTTGTGGACTTCAACTCCCAGAATTCCTCAGCCAGGCATGCTAGTTGAGGAATTTTAGGAGTTGAAGTCCATAAGTCATAAAAAGGCCAAATTTGAAGACCGCTTGTCTAATGCATGAGTTCCTGGTGAAGAAAGAATGGCCTGAAAGCTTCAAGTTGTGAATGAAAAGAAATCTGACTCCAAAACTTTCAGACATGAAACAGTAAAAGGAAAATCTATGATTGATCTATCAATCAAATATGGATGCCAATAGGAAGTTCAGTTATTTTGTGAAAAATTATCTGAGTTGTGGTGCCTTTGTTCCATCCATGTGTTGCTGGCTGAAGGAACAGGCCAAGATAATCTCTTTAAAATCATTGTTGTTTTCTTTTGTTTCCTTTCTTTTTTTGTTTTTCATCCTTGTCTAGTTCCTTATCATTCATATACATAAGTTTTGAATTCTTGCTGAATTGGTCTTCTTATTCTGAAAGGATTTTCACTTAGCACATGCATCGATTTGTTCAGTTAATCTACAGAACTTTACCTGTTTCAAGTAATTCAGTCCTAGAGAACATAGAGAACCAGAAACCATGTACATTTCATTAAATAAGTAGACAAGGATAGTGGCAGCATTTACATAATAGGACATCCACAAAAGTGTGGGAGGGTATAGTAGGATTTGATGGGGAAAGGCACAGGAAAACTCACTTAAGGCGTCTGACAGACCAATTCACCACATCCAGATGCGCATCTCCTTACAATAAATAGGAGCAGCAGTGCAGCTGGAAAGGACATGGGTCTGAGTTCAACACAATAAAAAAGCTGGTTAACTCCTATGGAGTTTCTCAATTTGCAAAAAAGTTTTGTTGTTAGATATTCCAAGCAGCCAAGCTTTGTCGGCATAGAGACAAAGAGTGCTGTATCCTTGTGAATCAGTTTTATGAAAATCAAGAGAGGTTTTTCACCATCTTAGGCACATGAAAACAACTTCTGCCTGTATCTGCCATATATTTATTCCTAGTATAAAGGACAAGCTATAGCAGTGTTTCCCAAACTTGACAATTTTAAGGCATGTGGACTTCAACTCCCAGAATTCTGGGAGTTGAAGTCCTCATGCCTTAAAATTGTCAAGTTTGGGAAACACTGAGCTATAGCTAGCTCCATTGTGCTATGGAGCATCTAGAGATGTACTAAATTTGCTCCTGGCAGAATGGGTGGCAGAATTCTTTTTTAATCTCTTAGCAGAAAATGGGATCTATGTGGCTCTTTAGTCTAATCCTGCTGAGCCCTTTTAATATTTTCAATATGTCCTGTAATTTAATTCAAATAGAAATTATGTTAAGATATGAATGAAACCAAAGTGTCAAATGTCATGTAACTTGTTTCAGAGAGAGAAATGATACATTTGGCAATTCTAAGACTTTGTGCACCCGAAAGCAATAAATTAACACTTTTCCTCCCCACATTAAGCAGAAGTGAGAAGTATACTTGAAAAGTGGGAAAAAAATGTCCTGTCAAGCAAAACCTGAGCAAGTTAATTTCAGCATAGTAAATCCAATAATCATGACAGCACTAGGTAGATACTATTTTGTGTTGCTGTATATTTTTAAAGAAAGAAAATATTCTTGATTTGAAGTAAATGTATTTTGATTTAAAATAATGTACCAATACAATTGAATAATAGCTTTTCAAACAATAAGCATCAAGCACTATATAAGCTGAAAGAGCATTTTCCTAGAATTGTTATAGTAACATTTTAGAATATTGGCAAAAAGGTTAGCTTTTTAAAGGATTTTTACTTTAAACATAACTTCTAAGGCTATTGTTCCTAAAGATGTGCTGAGTTATTCTTTCAAATGCTGCAAAATAACAGAAGCAAAACCTCCCTCAGAGTGTCTTGATTCACACAACACTTAACTCCATAAAATGGTTTGATTAGTTTTGATTTCTGTATTATATGAAACTAGTTATTGTAGTTTGTATATCATAATTTATGGCAAAAGGTGGAATAGACAACATCACTACCAGATGGGTCTGTAGATGGCTGGCAAACCATTCTCAACGAGTAGTCCTCAATGGCACTACATCCACATGGAGAGAAGTAAGCAGTGGGGGTACCACAAGGTTCCGTCTTAGGCCCAGTAGTCTTTAATAACTTCATAAATAACTTAGACAAGGGAATAGAAGGGGAACTCATCAAATCTGCAGATGACACTAAACTGGCAGAAGTAGCCAACACCCCAGAAGACAAACTCAGGATCCAGACTTGAACAATGGGCCCTGTCCAACAAAATGAGTTTCAATGTGGAGAAAAGCAAAGTTTTACATTTAGGCAGGAAAAATCAAAGATATAAGTACAGCTTGGGCGAGACCTGGCTTAAAAACAGTAACTGTGAGAGGGACCTTGGAGTCCTAGTGGATGATCACTTGACTATGAGCCAGCAGTGTGCAGCAGCAACCAAAAAAGCTAATACAATCCTGGGTTGTATAAACAGAGGCATAGTATCAAGATTACATGAAGTATTAATACTGCTTTATAAAACCTTAGTAAAACTATACCTGGAATACTGCAGCCAATTTTGGTCACTATATCACAAAAAAGTTGTTGAGAGTTTGGAAAAAAAACAGAGAAGAGCAACTAAGATGATCAAAGGCCTGGAGACTAAAACATACAACAGCAGGACTTGAGTTTGGCTAGTTTAAAGAAAAGAAGAAACAGGCAACATGATAGCAATATTCCAGTATTTGAGGGGCTGCCACCAAGACAAGTGGGCCATGTTATTCTCCAAAGCACCAGAGGGCAGGAAACAATGGTTGAAAACTGAACAAAGAGAGAAGCAACCTAGAATTAAGGAGAAACTTCCTGACAGTGAGGACAATTAACCAGTGGAACAGCTTGTCTCCAGAAATCGTGGGCATCACTGGAGATTTTTAAGAAGAGACTAGACGGTGAAATTTTGGCAATATGAACTTGGGATGGGTTCCTATTCTCTTGAATAGTTTCCCCCTTCCCCTGTATATGACACCTCAAACTCTTCTTGCCTTTAGGAACATGCTTAAGATTTGGCTCTTCCCCCAAGCATTAGTGATCAGTTGAACGGGTGTCTCTCCTATGAATGGTTGAGCGCTTGATCACCATTTTACATTTATATATTGTTTGCTTGTTGTTAGGTGGGTTTTTTTCTTCTTTTTGATTTACTGTGTTTATGTTGTATGGTAGAAGTCTCCAATCTTTTGGGCACCAGGGACAGGTTCCGTGGAGAGAGGTTTTTTCCGTGGACCGTGTGTGTGTGTGTAATTTCATGTACTGCCTGCATCCTGCAGATGGGGCTTTGCTTGTTTGCAAAGACCAGTTTCTGGCATGCCGCAGCCCGGTGCCAGTCCACCGCCTGGGGTTGGGGACCTCTGTTGTATGGCACCCAGAAGCACACAATCTGAGTTGGGCTGTATTATAAATTTATGACTGAATGAATGACTGTTGGAGGATTATATGCTGGGGTTTGTCACCTACACAATATAGACCAAGATTCTGGAAAGGAGAGCATTTTCTGACTAAATAGTGAGATGTGCAGCACACAAATTTAGTAAATAAATAAGTAAAATCCTCCATTTGAAAGGTACAAAAGTGTTTTATGTAATTCCCATGGTCTACTGTATTTAAAAGGCCATTCTCTTGCTGAATCTTTTCCAAATGTCTACTCATGGCAATTAATTAAAATACATCTTTGCTCCATAGGTTTTCTATGTTTGGGTGAAAGCAGTTTATACCCTCGGACACAGTGTTTCCCTCATTGCTCTGATCACAGGAAGCATCATTCTTTGTGTTTTCAGGTAACTTTGTTGAAACATTGGCAGGGACTAAGCATTTTGGAACAGGTAAAGTTCTCACTTGTCACTTAACAGGTCCCTTATTTTCTTTTTTAAATAAAACCTCCTTTGAGTCAAACTCAGCTCCTGGTGATCTGAAGGACATGGCCATGTAGCAATTGTTTGGCAATTGTCTTTTGTTGCCTTCTTTTGGGGTATTTTTGGACTTCTAATCTTCTCTACAATTCTAGTGTCTTCATCCAAAGTCTTGAATAGTTTGTATGCTGATTAGCTTCTAAGCCTAGGAAAGCTGATAATAGATATTGAGGTTTTGCATTTGTTCAGATGTGTTTAATTGCAATCATTTAATTAAAATGATAAATGGAAAGCAACAGGTTTGCTGCAAACCAGAGTGCCATTCTGCAGTATTATCTATATTTCTAAAAATCCTTTCGGAACCCAGACAAGCCCTATAGCAGTAGTTCTCAACCTTTTTAATGCCGCGACCCCCAACTGGTCGTAAGTCAAGTACTACACAACCGGTCATAAGTCAAGGACTACTCAACTGGTGCAGCACTGTTTGCAGAATGGGACTTTTGGCGGGCTCAGCAGGGCAGAGACAGCCTGGACAATTCCTATTGGCTTTTGAAAGCCAATAGAATTAGACTCTATTCAAGCTAAGGAAAAGGGGGGGGAAATGGCGGACTGCGTTGTTTGGTGACTCCCATGAAATGGTCGTTCGACCCCAAATGGGGTCCCGACCCACAGGTTGAGAACCACTGCCCTATAGAAATGTAAATGAATATAGTCCTGTGCTTTGCCAGCCCTCTGGAGCCCAGGACTTTGCAGTCCAGCAAAGAGGCCCACCTGCTGAGGAAAATAGGTAAGTGGGTGGGGAGATCTAAATGAGGTAATGTGGGACAATCTTATTGAATTGCCTTCTAAAGAAGAGTTGTTTTGAGACTGGCTGTTTTTATCAACTCAGCCATTTCCCGAATGGGCAGAGCTTTCCCTCGACAGGCATTTTATGTGAATACCAACATAATTTCAAAATTCCTAATGTATCCAGGGCCTAAAATGGATTTGGAACAGCAGAAGCCATAGACGAATTATTGTTTTATTAAAGAACAGTGCTGATTAGTGAACCTAATTTAAACTGGGCAGTATTATACTGCAGAAAGCTTGTGAATTCAAGGGCAGTTCTAGAGAAGATTGCTAAAGAGAGTTGTTGGGTAAGAGCAAAAAGGGCTCACAAAATGAGGAACAGGATGCATTGCAGGACCTTCCCCCCCCCTTGCAAAAGACCTCCCCAGGACTAATGAAGTTAGAAAATGTTCTACCAGTCAGAGTCAGGGAAGAAGGCAGTGTGAGCCTTAAGAAAACGAGGATGGGCAGCTAGTATATATTTAGTCCTTTCTTTATTGTATCTTTAGGATGTAAATAAAAAAGAGAATAATTAGGAATTGCCATTTGTACTTACATGATAAAGCAATAATATAGCTTGCAAATATACACAGTTAAAAAAAAACAAGACTGTGATATTTAGTAGTAGGAAAAAAAAATTAGCTCTGTAAGGAGGCAGCTTAAAAAAGTGAGTTCTGAAATGCAATTATCTACTTGTAAAATCAGGTTCCCCCTTTGAGGCAAACGGTGTTCCTGGGATAGATCAGGGAGGAACATTAGATGATTTCCCAAAAATATGTACCCCAGCAGAGTCCCCCAAGACATGAAGGTAATCCTAGCTGCCCGGCTAAGCCAACAGATTGCCCAACAACAATATAAGATGATGTCGGAGGTGGATCATCACTTTAGTAACAATAGCAAAGACACCATTTCATACTGCATAGATATAAACCACTCTCATATTTTACCAAGTAGACCATATGGATAAGCAGAAATAGAATGTTGTTAGGTAAATGGGTACCCCAGAACATCTCACCATCCTCATGAGAAAACTTTACAAAGAACAGGAAGCTGCAGTCTAGATGGAGCATGTAGAAATAATCTGGTTCTTCAACAATAGACTGTTCTAGGAGATTTAACACATCTATTTTAAGGGAAATTTGTTGTTATTTAGTTGATAAACCATGTCCAACTCTTCACAACCCCATGAACCATGGCACACCAGACCCCCCATCCTCCAGTGTCTCCTGGAGTTTGCCCAAATTCATGTTCATTGCATCAATGACACTATCTGACCATCTCATCCACTGTCATCCTCTTCTCCTTTTCCAAAGACCCTCTCTTCTCATTAAGTGAGCAAAGTATTCGAGCTCCAGTTTTAGCATCTGTCCTTCCAAAGAACAGTCATAGTTGATTTCTTTTAGAAGTGACTGATTTGATCTCCTTACAGTCCAAAGGACCCTCAAGAATCTTCTCCAAGACCCTAATGCAAAAGCATCAATTCTTCAGCGCTTCCTTATGATCCATCTCTCACAGCCATACATTTGAGGGAATAACTACTCCAAAACCCAGCTCTTTCAAGAAAAGGCTAAAATGTTGGGCTTATCCTTTCACCACTATAAAACTATAGTGCTTCTTTGTAACCTTCCAAGGAGAGAGAAAAACAAAACAAAAGAGAGCACATTATCTCAACCCTGCCTTAAAAGAGATCATTTTTAACGATTCTTTCAAGTTAAGACATAGCCATCAGTTTTTCTCAGTTTTCAGTGAAATTCCTCAAGATCTCTCATTTGTCATACAAGAACTTGCAAAAAAGAGTAATTTTGCATTTTAGCAACTATTTAATTTTTATGTTGTTAATATGGAGCATGAGACATCCTGATCTTTCACTGCCAGCTCCAATGTATGGTGCCTCAGGAGTTTCTGGACTAAAAGCAGAGATTTTGGCATTATTATATCTTAACAGTAAAGTTGTTGCAGCTTGTAGAATAGCAGAGGGCAAAGCAGAATATAGATATGGGGCCCTCAAGATCTACACCTACATTATAGTCTTTTTGTAATTGTTCTATCAAATAACAGAAGGTAAATAGAAAGATTTTCAGCTATACTTTGGTTCCAGAAACTACATTGTTTTTCTTTCCGTATATAGGAAACTTCACTGCACTCGGAACTACATACATTTGAATCTGTTCCTGTCTTTCATTTTAAAGGCAGTCTCTGTCTTAGTTAAAGATGGAATCCTCTATTCCGACACTAGTACAGATAAGTGTTCAGATGTTCATGCTTCTTGGGTAAGTAATTAATATTATTTAATGTGTTTCCTTTCTATCATGTCAATGATCTTTGAGATGGTTGTAGGTTATATCAAACCTCACATGAGATGAGTACCAGCAAGGGCAGTGAGGCTTCTGTTGGCTTGCTGGGAAAGAATTGGAACAGAGTTAAGAGTGTCTATGGAGATTCTCAGTTCATGGTTGTCTCAGAGGTGCTTTTTCAGGAGGCAACTGGACTTTCTTGTTTTTCTTTGAAGATATTTCACTTCTCATCCAAGAAGCTTCTTCAGCTCTGTCTGGGGGTGGTGAATGGAAGGATTTATATTCCTTGCAGACAGCTGGTTATTTGCATTCTTTTAGACTTGGAGAATCATGGAGGCCATTTGGAGCTGTACCTGTGTCCTCAGGGTCACCTGAATAGTGCAAATGTGTGTGGAGTCTTTTCTGCTGCAGGATGTTTTCTGCCCTGTGTCCTTTCACTGTTGAAGACAGGTGCAGGCTGTTGGGGATGAGTCTGTGTTGTCTGCATCTCAAACTAAAGCACAAATGGTTCCTGTAGTCTGCAATGTTTTCTGGGAATCCATTCATACTTCTGCACTATTTGAAGGGTATTCATCCCAAAGTGCATAGCTAAATGTCTATGGAGATTCTTCCATTCCCCACCATCCATTCAGAGCTGAAGAAGCTTCTTGGATGAGAAGTGAAAAACGCCTCCTGAAAAAGCATCTTTGGGAGAACAAACTAAGACTACAAGGGGGAAAAGTTATCTATTCTGGTAATGGCTTCCACTCTGCTTTTGGAAAGGCAGCATTAGACGCAAGTGATATGCACATTGATATAATCAAAATTAAGGTTCTCCTTCCTCAGCCTTACATCTTGTAAAGAGATAGAAATAAGAAGTTGGAATGGAATCTGGAAGCCTTTATTTCAGGTTTAATAATTGTAAAATCACTACTGGCTCGTGCAATGGGCAAAATGCTGCTCAGTTCTCCATCTGAAACTTCGATCCATCTATCACTGAACTTGCAAAATCTTCCTAGTCAAAATGCACTTTCTAACTTCCTAACAATGAGTGGTGCTAGAAATGGGAAAGATAATTTGAATATTTTTTAAAAAATGAATAGTGATAGGTGTGAGTGTGTGCATGTAGTTTTGCCTGTCAACACCAGACAATATTAATCTATCAAGCATCTTAACTTTTGAAATTAAGAAATAAAGATAACAACCCTTAGAATGCTTAGTTTGGGAAGAAGAAACACAATTCTGGTGATTACGAAGGGATTTATAGTGAAATTTGTTGGCAAGAATGTCATAACACTCAGCGATGTTGCTACTCAGTATGAAACTCTGTCTTGATGGAGAAGACAACTTGAAGAAATATGGCAATTAAATACTTAAGTGCAAAATTTCAGTTTCTCAAATCCATGGATATTATGATTCCGTTCCTTTCTGTTTAGTTAATGGGAACCAAGGATGTTGGTAACAAGTGGAGGCATTTTAGTCTTCAGCATGAAGTTTCCTCATATGTAATCCCTCTCCTTCCCCTGCTAATTAAATTTGACATGGCTTTTCACAAAGGTGCTGTGATAAAAATGCAAAACAATGGATCACTCTTAATACTTTGCATGTTCAGCCTCATACAATTCAGATTGGAGTGACTGTCTCGGCTAATTTAAGAGGGAACATTCTCCTCCTTCCACCACTTCTGACTGTTTCTTCAAAGTCCTATCTTGCTGGCATCATTGTAATATGGTCCATGTGATAAAAGATCTGTAGCCACAAATCACTTATGCTGTGCTCATTCTAGTTTACTTATACAATAGTCAAGCAAAACCTTTCAGTTTTTCCTCAGGGTTGTACATTCCATGAGCTATTTTTTGCTTCTGGCACAGCTGCTGTAGAATAAACTAACTTTAAAAAGGGATGGGAACATGTTTCCCGAACCAAATTGCTTCTGATTAATGGGTGGTCTTAAATACGGTACCTCTGCCCTTTCCTGATTCTCAAAAGGAGGTGAAGTTTTTATTCCTGGCCCTTTTTGCCCTGAAATTTGTGAGAAAGTGAGAGAGAAATTTCATTATAAAGACGAACACAATATGATGAATATGCCACTATTTTAGGAGGTAACAACCAAGTACATCAGTCTCAAACCTGGTTTTTGAGAAGCACTTGGCATTTGCATTCATTCATTGAATTAAGTCCAAAACAGTTGAAAGAGGCTGTTTCAACCCATCAATAGCTAAATTCATGGAAGGAGAAATCTCTTGTCAAAGCTTGTATCTATCAAAAGAGCTTTTAAACAAAGGAAACCATTTACTGTATTACAGCGGTTTCTTTGCATAAACATTTCATCCTTGATTTGTAACTTTCAGGTCGGCTGCAAGGCTAGCTTGGTATTTTTCCAGTACTGTGTAATGGCCAATTTTTATTGGCTCTTAGTTGAAGGACTTTATCTCCACATCCTCCTCATGATCATGTTCTCTTCTAACAGACACTTCACCGTGTATCTCCTTACTGGATGGGGTAAGAAGGTCAATATAGTTATCTCTGTTTTTTATTCCCTCCCCCTCAAGAGACTTTGGAATCCTACTTAGAACCTCTAGAATTTGAGACTTGGCAAACTCCATGTTCTCTGTGTTGGTATCTGTCCCATCTTTGACCCACTGTTGTATTGAAGGTTCAGGCACATGCAAAAATACTGGAGATGCATACAGAGCTCTTTCTTCATGACTGATGGGATTTATGTAGTTTGATAGGTCACAAATTTTGTAGTCCTCTGATTTTCGTGCTTGGACTACAGGTAGTCTTTGGCTTTTGACCTCAGTTGAGCCCAAAATTTCTGTGGCTAAGAAAGACAGTTGTTAAGTGAATTTTGTCCCATTTTATAACCTTTCTTGACACTGTTAAGTGAATCACTGCAGCAGTTAATAACACAGCAGTTAAGCGAATCTGGCATCCCCATTGCTTTTGTTCATCAGAAGATCACAAAAGGGGATCACATGACCTTAGGACACTGCAGTCGTCATAAATATGAGCTAGCTGCCAAGCGGGTGAATTTTGATCACTTGACCATGGGGATGCTGCAATGGCTGTAAATGTGAAAAACAGTCATAAGTCAATTTTCAGTGCTGTTGTAACTTCATTAAATGAACTGTTGTAAGTCGAGGACCATCTGTACTTGGAGAGAAAACTATAGAACTCCTAGAAGAGCACAAGGAAAATTCTCAAGTGAAACCAGAACCATACTGGAAAGAAGAGTCAAAGTTGCTAGGTAGGATAAAGTCTTGGCATAAATCGAGTAAACTTTAATTTTTCAGAAACAAAATCAGGGAGTCATATTGAGGCACATTCAATGAGCATTTCCAGTTTCAAGACACCCTGGACAGCTGCTTATAGTTATATAGACCATTCTGGATGTATAGACGTTTTAGTTATTTGTTGGATTTGGAGATCATCCCAAATGTAGATGACTAAGGATGGTTTGAAATACAGACACAAAGACCAAATAGTAATAAATGTGTGTACAGAACACTAAAAACAAGGTCTGTTAGTGATTTCCTTTCAGCTAATTCTCATGCTATGCCATATTATATAGTTTGAATTCTTCGTCTACAAAGTGGATTTCTGTTTACATGATTAATTTTGTCAAATATATACATACAAACATATATACATACTACTTTTTTCCCTTTGCTTCCTCTGCTATGTCTTTCTTCCAGGAATCCCTACAATTTTTATAATCATATGGATAATAACTAGAGTTTATCTAGACAACAATGGGTAAGCACCAATTGAATAGCAGCATATATGTTTCCAGGCTTTAATGTAAAAGATAACTGCTTCTGGTTGCATGATGTCCAAAATTTAATCCTGTATATATGGGTTGCAATAAATAATACACATAGATATGTTAAACATAAACTTGAATTGTATTGTCAGTGCTAGTTGCCTTTTCTTAACTAGCTGCTTCTGTTTGATGCAGAATGCCTTATGGGAAAGGAGGAGGGTGTTTAAAAAGTCAGTGTTGAATCACAGACTCCTGATCTTCTGAAGCATCATAGAGGATCAGTTGGTTATGCCACCAAAAAGAACACAGCTTTCTGATGGGATTTTAAGTGTGAGGATGGAACTCTCACTTTTGAATCAAAACTGTATCATTCAAGTGGAGTCAGTATTGCAATGCTGAGATGCTAGATCATGCAAATGGGGTGTTGGAGAGTCCATTTATAGGCATAGTCCTGGTATGGAGTAAAGACATCTAAGCAGTAAAGAAGTAACAATTCTGTCCCACAAAATAATGGCTACATCTGATTGTGAAAACAAGTTTCAGGTTTTGGAGGGAAAAAAACCCAAATATAATGTAATGAATTTAATGTATGATCTTTATTTAAAATGCAGAGCAAATAACTGAAATATAATTTCTGAACGCTATGTTCCTTCCTTGTTCCCTCAACCTTCCATCTTACCTGACAATGACCATAATGCAGTTGCCCATTCTAGACATCATTTATTTATATAGTAGATTTAGGAGCTTCCTGATTCTGGGTAGCTCACACTTAAATGGGAAAACAACAAAAAGAATCTAAGTGTCCAGACAAATTCTGTCTCAGCCTCCACAAACAACCTCCCACAAGGCCTGGGAGAACAGCCAGTCTTTTAAAGACTTGCAGAACATCATCTTTTTTCATTGATTGATTATGTCTCGTCAAGCTGGTGTTGATGCTTGGCATTGATTTTTACATTGATTTTTCTCCAAGAAACATAATCAGAATGGGTGCTGTTTGGATCCCTCTAGAGGGGTAACTTTCCAGAGGACAGGTGCTTCAACAGAGAAGGCATGCTTTATGGGTCTTGATAGACGGCATTACAATCATGCAGGACAGTGTCAGTCAAGTAGAAAGCCATTTCAAACTTTACTACCACCAAAAAAATCAGTGTCTACACCAGTGATGGCGAACCTTTTAGAGACCAAGTGCCCAAAATCCACTTATTTATCCTGGGTGCCAGGTGGGCATGGCCCACTGGATGTGGCTGTGGTGCTTATGGCAGACTGGGTGGGTGTGGCCAAGGTAGGCATGATCACCTCGATGTTGCTCGTGGGGAGGGACACCTGTGGGGCCCGGGCAGGGTTGGGGGAAATCCAGGGGGTCTCTGGCAGGTGGGGTGAGGCGAGGCAAGGCAGGGCAGGGGAGCCATTGTCGCAGGGCAAGGCAAGGCAGGGGCTGGGGCGGCTGCTGCCTGACTCCATCGGCCCCAGCACACAGAGGCCAGTGAGCACATGGGTACTTGGATGCATCCAGCCACGTGGACTTCAGCAAGTTAGCGGGCAGCTGGTTGAAGAGGGACAGTTGCCATCTTCGATGCATGGTGCGCGTGCCCACAGAGAGGGCTCTGAGTGCCACTTCTGGCATGCGTGCCATAGGTTCACCACCACTGGTCTACGCCCTTCATAGTATATATTGTTCGTGATATGCAGGCACAACTCTCTTCAATGCAACTTGCATTAATTATTCTGGGCTTTTATTTTGAGGCTTGCTCATTTCACAGCAAGATACGAAATGATATATATGGACTGTCACATGGATATGAAGGCTTGTCAGAGAAGTGAAGGCCTAGAAAAATGCATAAATGCAAATAAAAAAATGAAGTGTTTTCTTCCCCCGTCCAATATTTCCAATATTTTTTCCCAGGCTAAGACCTCTATGACTGCTAAACTGATAACTTAGATTTGGATTTGTTGAAAATCATAAAGGCTGTACCTGGCTGGGCTTTTTTAAAAAGGAAATTAAGGATAGTGAATCTCAAACAATATCAGTGAGGAAGAAAATTAGGAGACGTTAAAAACAAGTAAATGTAGTTTTATAGGCAGCTTATGAAGGAATCGAGTCAACTGAAGATACTTATGCGGAATGGAAGGTAAGGCAGATAGCCAAGGAAGTTCAGAAATGTAGAAAGTTAGGAAGAGTCACAAGGAAGGTTTCTTCAAATAAGTCAATAGCAGGAGGAAGGCGTAAGAAAGGAGAAATCAAATGTTAGTCCAAGTGGAGAAATCTTGATATATGACCAAAAAAACAACAAGGAAGCAAAGGAAGTCAAGTGCTATTTTGTTTCTGTATCCAAAGGACATGGTCACTTAAGTAGCATCGATTTTAAAAGAATATTTGCAGTAAAGATGTGGTAAAAGAGCCATTTTGAATGTCTTCATGCTTGTCAGAAGACTGGAGAAGAACAAATTTCTTCTCCTCCTCCTCCTCCTCCTTCCTCCTCCTCTTCCGCCTCCTCCTCCATTTAAAAAAAAAGATTCCAGTAATTATTGACCAGTCAGCCTAATATTAATAGCTAGAAAGATGTTAAGTAGAGCAGAAAATAAGCATATCATTTGTAAACTTGTAAATAGTGCTTTGATTCCTAAGTGTCTGCGTGGTTTTGTCAAAAATAGGTCATATGAGACAAATTTCATTTCCTTGGACAAGATAATTACTTTAAGGGAGTAGGGAAATGCTATGTATATAACCTATTGGGAGAAGAAAGTGGAGATGGATGTGGAATGCACATTATTGGACAGAGGGTAAAAACCTTTGCTTCCTCTTCCTTGTAGTAGTTGATCAACCAAAAGAGACAATGTTTTCCCAGTACTAAGCTGCTACCAAATAAAAGCCCTATAAAATAGAGACGTTTTTAAATTTATTATTTATTAAACAGTTGTATATAGCCCCCAACTCACACATTTATTTATAAATTTTATTTATTTATAAAACTTATATTTTTGTGACTGTAAGCATTACCTTATGACTTACCTTATGGTCACTCATCTTACCATAGGGTAACTCTGGGTGGCTTACAGTCATAAAAATATGTCTTTACGTATACAATTAAAACATAATTAAAATCAAACATTAAAACTTAAGGACACTTGGGGAGGGCGGGAGCAGTGTGGGGGAAGGTGGGATCTGTGGTTATTTGAACAATCACCTCCCCCGTGCTGTTCCCCTCACTTGGGCCCCAAGCTGACTGGCAGATCCATGTCTTTAGGCCCTTACAAAGGGAGGGTTGGGCAAGAATCTCATCGGGGCAAGATGCTCCAGACCAAAGAAGGGAAGTTGAAATTGGACAAAAATCATCTAGGCAGGTGGAATCTAGTATGGTTTTTTTAAGGAGGGGGCAAACCTGGGCTTCCTTAAAAGCATCCAGAAATATCTTCCTCTAGTGACATATTGATCACTGCCTGGACCCAGCCACTAGTCACCATCCTGCAGACTTTCACCATCCAGGAGGGACAAGGATCTAAATGACAGGTGGTGCCACTGATAGCATCAAAGACCTTGTTCATCAGGGCTAACAGGATCCAACATTACCAGATAACAAGGCAAGACCTCTCTCTGGGCATCTAACATGGACTGTCTTCACACATGGGATCCAACTGGGAACAGATCTGAGTGACTTTGTCCATCAGATATGGAACAAGGTCCTCTGCCTGGTCCTGCAAAAGATCACCCAAGTCCCCCTGATCTAGGAGGGAGTGGGCAACCTAAAACAGGGTCACTGGGCGGCACTCTGGGGACTGAATAAGAGCAGAGAAATACTGGGTTTTGCTGCTCTTACTGCCATGAGATAGGCCTTAATAGCGGCTCTAAGTCATACCTGGTCAAAGTCATCCCTTGTGTTCCTCAGCAGCACTCTAGGCATCTCTTGGCCCTTTTCAGAAGCCATAACTCCTCCATGAACCATGAAGAAGTTCAGGGCATCATCCTTAGATTCCAGGCCACCACCATAGCTTCAGTGGGATTGTGTAGCAACACCTCCTGGATATCCCCAGTTTTCTCTGGAACCCATCAGAGTCACATCAGTCATTGGGGTCAGACCATCTGAATGGATCTGGCCTCCCTGTGGAGAGGGACAACATACAGAGGTAACAAAATTTTAAAAATTACCATATAATAAAAATCCATTTAAAAAACTCATTCTATTCCCCATGGCAGCAACAACACAATCAAATCAGCCACTTAATAAATTGTAGAATGTGCTGTCCCACTCACACATACACACACCCCGCAGTGGATTAAAGGTCTTTATTGAGCTACCCATGCCCAATTATTCATTCCCCAGCAGTTTTAGAATAGCCAAAACCCTTTTTCTGGAGCTCTGAGAAGCCGATAAAAAGAGCAGGTTAAGTTACCAAACTTAGGCAGTGGCGAGAATGACCGGACAGCAAGGCAAGAGTCCAAGGCTAGAAGTAATCCACGAGGCAAGGTAGTTAAGTACAGCCCCTCATGATAGGTGAGGCTGCTGCCTTGCAAGTAACCTGGTCGACCAGTGCTATTCCTGGCACATCTCCCCCCTGTGCGTTCCTGGATCAGATGGGGGGGGGTTGACTTCCTCATCCTCACTGGCCACTGGCAGATGCCCTCACTCTTCTGGAGCCTCCAGGCTAACTTGTTGCAGCTATGACTCATGCTGCTCGGGCTCAGCTGGTTGCCTGTCCAGTCATTCTGGCTGTAGTCCCTCTGTCCCCTGGTCTGTGTCTCCCACAATCCCCGGACTCACTGCCCAGAGGAGCCAGGGATTGGGTCATCCTCTTCCTCTGAATTAGCATCTGGAGAGGAGACTGGCGGCACATTACATAGAGAGGTTGTTGTCCTGGTACCACTACAGCTCCCCTCCCATCTATCTATTGTCATAAGTCTAAAAATAGTACTTGTTTCTGATTTTCAAATATATTTTAGTCCCCTCTGCTTTTTGTTTTCAAATTTTCTCGCAATTTTGCTAGAGCTAAGTAATAATTATGGTACAATGACACAGGATTTATGTTTATTCATTATTTTTTTCCTTTTTAAAACAGTTGCTGGGATACAAATGAGCATAGTGCTCCTTGGTGGATTATACGAGTACCAATCCTAATTTCCATTTTAGTAAGTAAACTCATAATTGGAAATGAATTATGTTAATGTAATTTTTCACACTAGCTTTTATCCCTTGAAATTTCATGCACGCATGTTGGTCTGGGCAAAAGTCTAATACTTTTCATTATTAATTTTAAACCCACCCTTCAGCAACAGAAGAAGCAGCTAATAATAAAAATTCACAAAGAACAATATATTAGCGCTATAGAAAGCAATTCCACATTCCTAAAAACAAAATACAAAAAAAATCAACTATTGACATTCTTTCTATTAGATAATCCCTGGTGAATTTCAAAAACCTTAGTCTATTTTCTGAAAGAGTAGCTAAAATTTATTTATTTATTTAAATTTATTGGCTGCCCAAGTCCAATTGAATCTGGCCAGTGGGCAAAACTAAAAAAGACATAACTGCCAAAAATATTAAATGAAAAAGCTTTCCCATTATTAGTTTGACAATAATCAACATTTTTCCATATTAGATATTGATGTTATAATAATTGCTCCAAATTTAATTTTTATGTATATCTGACAGAAATATAATTCAACTGTATTTCTCCAACTTGTAAGTACATATAGTCCTCCCACTTTGGACTACAATTGGGACAAGACATTCTGTTGCTCAGCAAGGTAGTTGTTAAGTGAGTCATGTCCAACTTTATGACTCTTTATTGATATGAGAATTGAGCAAATCAGCACACTTGTTAAGCGAATTCAGCTCCCCCCACTGACTCTCTTTGTGGGGAGCCAGTGGGAAAGTTTGCAGATGTGATCACATGATCCTCGAATGCTGTAAATATATGCCAGGTGCCAAGTGCCCTAATTTTGATTATTTTACCAGAGAGGATGCTGCAATGGTCCTAAATATGAGGACTGGTTGTAAGTCACTTTTTTGAAATGATTGAGGGTGAGGGTTCATTCTCTGAGCTTGTGGGTTGGTTTCTGAAGGTTTCGTTACCAGGCTACGTGTAAGGAAGCCCTTATAAATGACTTCCCCTAAATGCCGCTGAAGGTGTTATCTAGCTTGGTAACGAAATGTTCAGAAGTCAACCTACAAGCTCGAATAACAAATCTTCAGATACTTGCCATTATTGCAAACTTCAAATGCTTGCTAAACAATGATTATAATAAGTTCACCCATGTAGAATAATTTGTTTGTATCCTGCTTTTGTTATTTTTACAAATAACTCAAGTCAGCAAATATATCCCAACGTACCGTCCTCCTCCTATTTTCCCCACAACAGCAACCTTGTGAGATGAGTGAGGCAAGAGAGAGTGAGTGATCCAAGGTCACCCAGCTGGCTTTCGTGGCTAAGGTGGGACTTGAACTGAGGTCCTTTGGTACCTTAACCACCAAACTGGCTTATGATATGTAACGCTAGTTATGTTATGACCTGTAATATTAGTGTTAGTGATAATAAAATGGTAGTAGAAATGTTGGGAATAGAACTTGAATAAAGAACCAGAAGAGAAATGTATGGCTCCTAATTTAAAGAAAGAATATAATTTTGAGACGGATGAATGGACAGGTGTATTATATAGAGGCCTGTTTGTCTCTCTTTTAAAATGTTATTTCATAAAACTATACTTAAAGGCCAGTTAATTTTTTAAAGGTTCAGAAGATAGATAAAGTTATTAAATATCTTTTCCCTCTCTTTAATTATCTTGCAATGCCTTTATAAAAACTGAGTGTTCATGGACAAGTTTGTGCAATTATTATATTGCCGTTGTTAGTTGATCAAGTTCAGAATTGATTTGTTCCAGGATAAGCCTCTTTGAATTCCCTGTGAATTTATTCTAAGTAAATAAACATAATGAATTATATAATTACAATTAGATGTATATTTAACTACAAATATATTTTGTTAGATACATTGAAATGTAATTCTTTCTATATTTAACTGAGAGTAAGTTTTAATCTACACATTAAAGCAATATTTTTCATCTTCAGCAAATTTAAAATAGATGAATTTCAACTCCCAGAATTTGTGCTGAGAATTCTGGGACTGGAGGTCCATCTAACTTAAAGTTGCCACAGTTGAGAAACACTGCAGATTTTTTTTTCTTTAGAACATCACTACAGGATTTAACTTATCAGTGAATGATTGGGAAAACTATGCATTTTTATACAATTATTAATGCCTCTGTTAATTCTTTCATAGGTAAATTTTATAATTTTCATTAGCATTATAAGAATTCTGCTCCAGAAGTTAAGATCTCCAGATGTTGGAGGCAATGAACAATCACAATACAAGTGAGTGAAATACAAATCTCTGTTTCTCTTGATGGAAGCCCATGTTGGCAAAACACATATCAGAGGAGCTCTGACTTATTCTAATGAGCTTATTTTATGTGTTTACTTTTAAGGAGACTTGCAAAGTCAACGTTGCTTCTGATTCCACTTTTTGGTGTTCACTATGTGGTGTTTGCAGTCTTTGGCGTTTCTAATTACTACCAGATAGTTTTTGAATTATGCCTGGGTTCTTTTCAGGTAGTATCTGAGCAAGTTTTCTTCTTAAAATAATTCTGATTTAATTTTATTACTGTGTTTTAACTTGTAAGTATTTTGCCCTTGCAGGGACTGGTTGTTGCAATCCTGTATTGCTTTCTGAACAGTGAAGTAAGTTTATATCTTCTTGTGATAAGATTGGGGGCAGTGATAATATAGGCCATTGTGCTGTTGTTCAGCTGTTGATAGAAGCCTTGAGATTCACTTTGCAGTATGTGGAGATAGGATTGAAAAAGTTCCACGTTGGGCAAGGGGATCACCTCAAGTGAGAGTAATGAATGGAATCTTGTTTTAAACATTGCAAAAACCATCGCATGTTTTGAATCATAGTTTGTTGAAGGGACAGGATTGTAAAGTGAGTACTGTGTCACAGATAGGAGTGGAGTCAAGAATTCCCTTCCTTCCTTCTTCCTGGTTGACTGCTTTCCTTCCTTCCTTCCTTCCTTCCTTCCTTCCTTCCTTCCTTCCTTCCTTCCTTCCTTCCTTCCTTCCTTCCTTCCTTCTCCTTCCTCCCTCCCTCACTCCATTTTCATTTTTTAATATATATATTAAATGTGGCTTAGCCTTACATTTCTATTGTGTGTTTCCATCCTGAAGTGGCAGCTAGCCATCAGTTTTCCAGAATGCGGTTGGAAGAGGCTGTAGGAGCCTCTCAAATGAGTCTGGGGTTACTTGTAGCCCTGGACCTCAGATTTCCTATTCTTGCCTTAAAGCACAGTTTGCAAATCACAGTGCCTGCATATTGCTAACATACTGTGGGATTAAACAAACTGCATTCTTGTATAACATGTGAACTCAGCTAGGGGATGACATGATAGCAGCAGTGTCCCAATATCTCAGGGGTTGCCACAAAGAAGAGGGAGTCAAGCTGTTCTCCAAAGCACCTGAAGGAAAGACAAGAAACAATGGACAAAAACTAATCAAGGAGAGAAGCAACCTAGAACTAAGGAGAAATTTCCTGACAGTTAGAACAATTACTCAGTGGATTGCCTCCAGACGTTGTGAATGCTCCAACACTGGAGGTTTTTAAGAAGACACTGGACAATCATTTGTCTGAAATGATATAGGGCTTCCAGTCTGAGCAGGGGGTCAGTCTAGAAGATCTCCAAGGTCCTTTCCAACTGTTATTCTGTGAAGGCCTTTTCCCAAAAAAGAGGGAAATGCAAAGCAGGAGAGGCATTAACTATAAATGTTGCTGGAAACAATACCTTTTTTGCAACCCAAATCTAGCACCAATCCAAACTTGAAACAGCCATTTGTGGACTTAGTTCTTAGATGGCTGGTAGGGAAAAATTAGGTTCTTCAGTAAATACGATTGTAAATGTCTAGGGTAACATGAGGAGAGTGCTGGATGATTTGATGAGATTTTGTAAGCTCTTGCTTGTGACATTAGGGAAGTATCTACCTTCCCTTCTGTGGGCCTCTTCCTCAGTTATCTTTGATTTTTTTTCAAATATCTGGATCTTTTTTTGCCTTGGTATGATATATCCAAAATATTTAAGCTTTATCTTAAGTGTTACTGCTTCTAGTGAACATTAATTGGATTCAGCACCTCCAAAAAATAAATATAGCGATATCCTGCAAGTGTTTAATCAGTTAACAAGTGCCTTTTTCTGCTGGAAGTTACTGAGAGAATAATTTTCAGATATTTTCAAATGCCTTTAATTTGCCAGTTGCTGGGTTTTAATTTGGCACCAACCCAAAATTTGGAAATAAAGGTTCCTGAACTAAGAGAGATTTAGTTTCAAATAAACATGCCTAATTTTCAATATGTAATTAAATTTTTAAATCAAAATTAGAAGTTAAGAGTGAGATAAAGTATCTTGACTTCAGTTTTCTTGGCAGCTACAGAGACACGTCCCTATTGTTGATAGGAGGATTGCCTTTTTTCTGTTTTTTCCAGGATGTTTGGGTTTTTTTTACTGTTTTTCTCAGTCTAGTGCTAAATCAATTTGATTGTTTTTTTTTTCACCACCATTTTAACACCTTTAGTTATGGAATGCTTTGAATAAATGAACTTTTTATTATTTTTATTCTTTATTCTTTTATTAGCATCCCAACTATAACAGCATGTTGTAAATTGTCAAGCCATTTCAATACTTAGCATAACAAGTTTTATTTAAAAAAATAATTATAATGCAGTTTTATTAAACGTGGGAACCTTCGTATAATTCTCTTTTCCATTTATCTCACCTTCTTGTATATGAGGGGGTTCTTAGTGCTCTCTAAGCTTGGTGGTTTTCTTGCAGACATTTCATTACCCAAACAAAGTAACACCATCAGACTGAAATGTTTGCAAAAAAAAAAAAAAAAACCCCACCAAGCTCAGATAGCACAAAGGACTCCTTATTTCAACCATATACATATATTCTCTTTTATTGTCTTCTTGCATATTCAAGCACATTTTCATCCCACAGGGAATTAACCCCAGTGCTAATAAATTGCATGCTGGTTTCCTTTTTTGCCTTTAGGTTCGAGGAGAGCTGAAAAGAAAATGGAAGAGCTGGTGTCTGAATGAAAGAATAAGCCGCGATTACAAAGTTCACAGGTCTTCTGTTTTTCCAAATGACTCAGAAGGTGGCTCCCATTTGCATCGCAACTCGGCCACTCAGTTTTCTTCTCAGACAGAAACTTCGGTGATATAAGTCATCTAGGTGCCTATGTAAAAACTATGGAGCATATCCCTGGGTATATAGTTCATTCATTGTGCTATTTTCTAATGTGTAGAGTTTGTACTCCACTTTATCTATATGTCAAGATAGAGGGATTTCCAGCCTATGACAGCTGTCTTTTGTACTTGCTTTTAGGATTTGGTTATGATAAAACCTTTTTCCTCTATTAATTCCCTCCCCCCAACTGTGTATTCTGCAAGTAGCCGTAAAAATTTAATAGTCACCATCCACATTTGGTTTAAACCTCTGAAAAGTCATCAAATCATGCAGCAATTAGTTTCATCTGTTGAAGAAATGTTTCTTTTTACAAAGCTGGTTCCAAAGATTATATGTTTAGATATTAAATCTGTTAATTCTGCTACAATTATTGTCCTTTTGCAGAATCTTGATTCTCATTAGTGTAACCTGTGCAGATAGTCCTTTTTAGCAACCATAATTGGGATCAGCAACTTGGTTGTTAAGCAAAACAGTCTCTAAGTGAAATACGATTTTTATGGTCTTTAGCTTTCCTTTGCTTTATGAACCTATGAAGGTCATAAATGTGAGGGACTGGTCACAAAATTATTTTTTCATCATCAGCGTAATTATGAACAGTCACTAAGCAGGACAGTTGCTAAATGTGGGCTACCTGTAGAGAAACCTGCTGCTTATTTTTGCAATATCATATGATTGAAGACTGTGAATTTGCGTGGACTTTAAAACCTAGAAGGGTCATATGTACACAGCACTGGCTTTCCATTCCAAACAAGCTGCTTACGCAAGTATGATTGTGACCATAGAATTGAGGCTTGTAGTCATAGCTCATCTGAGTTCTCATGTAGGTGAACAATTGAAGGGATTTGAATGCAAAGTAAAAATGAAAAACTAAATGTTACGTGTTTGTGAGTTATCAGAGCAGATAGCACTTTCTTGGCAGATGAAATAGAATTGAAATGCATTTGAAAAAGGGGAAATCTTTAGTATCAACCTTTTTTTTTTGTCTTTTTCATGTTTCCGTGATCTTCCAAATGCTGTCATTTATCAGTTTTCTCATATGTTGTTTTAATATTATTTATTGTGTGCCTTTTTATATTTCCTGTAATGCAGTGTTTCCCAAACTTGACAATTTTAAGGCATGTGGACTTCAACTCCCAGAATTCCACAGCCAGCGTTGCTGGCTGTGGAATTCTGGGAGTTGAAGTCCTCATGCCTTAAAATTGTCAAGTTTGGGAAACACTGCTGTAATGTAATGTATTTTGATTATTCCCAAGTTTTCCTTTTTGTTAGCTTCTGTGGATTTCTGTAAAATAAGACTAAAGCACTTACTGAGAGACATCGCTGCCACCTCTCCATAATGTTACCTGATTTTATTAGATTTCTATTTGTTTTTAATGCCCTGGCCCTGGAATCCCAATAAAAAAATTCCAATCTCTTTTTTATGAAGAGGGAGGCCTTCAACACTAAAAGTAAAAGTTTGATCACAACATAGTCTTTGTTTTCAGATATGATGGGTTTGCAACTTCCAACACAACTTGTTTCATTGGATTGTGCTTTTATAATGCTTGAAAAGAAGAATGATAAACCTGTATGCCTAGGGCCAGCAGTGGACTCCAAAACAAATATTTTCCCTGAGTAGTTTCATTTTTAGATAAATATTTATGGTAATTTCAACCAGAATAGTAGTAAACTCAGTTATTTCCAGTTTTAGGGTGTCCCCTCCATTATACCTCTCTCTCTGATTTGCATTGCCTCTACAAGGAAGGAATGAGTCAAGATGAGTCTAAAATACTTTGCTTTAGAATAGTCAGCATATTTCATCTACTTGATGTCAGTGACCTTTACAACACAACCATATTCAAATATTCTGATGGTTCTGAATGGAATAAGGCATAGTAATGCGTTAAAGGAATATTTTACAAGTTGCTGGGCTTTAAATGCGTTGGATTATTATTCCCAGACTTTCTGATCAGCCAATAAGAATTCTGGGAGATTTTACTCAGACACAGGTAGTTCTCATTTATCTACCACCTTGTTCAGTTACAACATTGATGAAAAAGTAACTTTGCAACCAATTTTCACATTTACAACCTCTGCAAGTCTTTAAAACAAAAGAAAGCTGAAATAAGATCATAAGCACAATCACCAGTTTTATTTAACGAGTGCTTTGCTTAATGATGGAATTGCTATTCCCAGTTGTGATTGCTAAATGAGAACTATCTGTATTTTAAATCTCCAGATGGTAGATGGTTAGTCTACAACTAGTTAATATCTTTGGAACAGCAATTTGCTTTAAATAAATAGAAAGTCAGGCATATATTCCTGGAAGTATGTCCCATGAATTCTGCAGAGTGTTGCCTCTCTTTGGCTATTTGCTAAAGCTGGTCTGTATATGCAGAACAATTTTTTATTAATTAGTATTTTTTTCATTTCTCCCAGAATGAAAAAGCTAGTTTTCTTAAAGAATGCAACAAATGCACCCACTGATAAAAGGCAAAATAAAAAGCATAATTCTGCATAATCATAAGGCTTTTTTGATTTGATATAACTATCTAAGTTTCCTTTTCTTTTAAAAGTATTCTTTTTTTCAGTGTTCTTTTCCAGAATTTTTCAAATTGATTGTTTTTCTTGAATTGAATTTAATAACAAGATGAAAATATATAAGAATCTGGGTATATTAGCAAGTTATCATTCGATAAGAGGAATAGCAAAAAAAAAAGTCATATGACATAATTTTTTGCCATTGTTTTTTCTAGGATTGTTTTAGTTTTCTAGTCTAACCTGCAAATTTAGTCTTTCCAAATATTAGCTAAATTTAAGTTTAATCACCCTTCATTGAAAGGCACAATGACAATTAATCAATTTTTTTAATAAAAGATGCATTAAAAAACATTTTTATATAACAAAACAGATTGAAAACCTAGAACTTCATTATAATTTGTAATCTTATTATAACATAGGTTCAGGTTGTTTACAGGTAAGATTGTATGGAAAAATTCCCATTGCCTAGAGATGTGACTGTGCTTGATGACCATTGGACAGACTCTTAAACATCACTAGGGCCTTAAGAGGCTCAATGGCTGTGTTTTTTCCAGTAATACTCCTGTGACTTAAAGGAACTGAAGTCAATGCTCCAATCAGGAAGGAGCCTTCTCCCCGGTTTTTCTGTTTTCTGGCTGACAGCTGCAAATTTATTAGCCCCAGCCTGATCTTGAGGCTCCATGAAGATCAACTGCCCAGCCGGTATAGGTAGTCCTCAAATTACAACCATTCGTTTAATAAGCATTTGAAGTTACAATAGTACTGAAAAAATACTTTATAACCAGCTCTCACCCTTATGTATTTATAACAGTTGCAACATCGTAGGGTCATATGACTGCCGTTTGAAATCTTTCCAGTCAGCTTTCAATAAGCAATCAGTGGGAGAACTGCACGACTCACTTAACAACTGCAGTGATTTGCTTAAGAACCATGTCAAAAAAAGAGGAAAATTTGGTATGACTCATGTAACAAACGCCTTGCATAGCAATGAACGTTCTAATCTGAATTGAGGGCATTAGTCAAGGGCTAACTATGTAGGGCAGGAACAAATCCCAGATACTGAGATACTGCAGCAGCACTGTAGTCTTTCCAGTAGCATCTGGTCTTTTCAATCTCATGAAAACAAAATATAACCATTGCCCCAACCCATCTCCAAATACAGCTAACATTTTATAACTATCTGGCAATGGTTGAATACATCAAATTGTAAATATTGTTGGAATTTAGAAGGCTATGTAAGTCATTTAGAATAGAATAGAGCTGGAAGAGACCTTAGAGGTCTTCTAGTCCAGCCCCCTGTTCAAGCAGGAGAACCTATACCGTCTCAGACAGGTGAATGTCTAGTCTCTTCTTAGAAATCTCCAGTGATGGAGCGCCCACGATTTCAAGGGGTAAGCTGTTCCATTAGTTAATTGCTTCGCTATCAGGAAGTTTCTCCTTAATTCCAGGTTGTTTCTCTCTTTGGTCAGTTTCCAACCATTGTTTCTCACTTTCCCTCTGGTGCTTTGGTGAACAACCTGGCCCCCTCTGCCTTGTGGCAGCCCCTCAGATACTGGAACACTGCTATCATGTCTCCCCTATTTCTATTTGTAATATCACTTTATATCTCAGTGCTGCTGACTGCCTGTTCAAAGTTAACAAGACTGAGAAAGAAAAAAGATTTGACGTGATCCCTTTTTAAAATAACCATAAAAGGTATAAACCAAAAGAGGACTTTTTTGTTTTGTTTTAACCTCCTGTCTTTGTGCAGCCATTGTAAAAGGACACAAAGCTGACAGGTTTTTATAAATAGAAGTGTGGAATATCTGCAGTCCTAAGAGAAAAGGGCATAGCCGCGTTTACTTATGTTGTTGCCTGTGTCTGTGGCTTTCTTAAATAATAAACCAAATTTTGCTGCTGTACTTTTCCACAAGAGCTGCTTGTCCCTCAGAATCTGAAGTGGCAGGTTTCTAAGAAATAAATACTTCCTCTGGTTTGCAATTCAATCTGGCTAATGCAGTCAGCAGGTTCTTATAATTTTTTAATTTGGGCATATCATCTTCACCCTATTTATGCCAAACCCATTTATTCTCAAGTAAAAGCAGCACATGAGAAAAACTGCATTTCTAGACATGGAGCAAAAGTGTTTATGCATCATAAATACCACAGATTCTGTTTTGCATCTGCCTGGTTGCCATCTTTAAATCAAGTCTTTTGGAAATTATTGCAAAAATGATCAGGAAAGCCCAAGGCCTCCAGTAAACATCTAATATCCTGGTCCTGGAGTATCCTCAGGAGGATGGCATTTTTTAAAAAAGGTCAAAATGGCTGCCACAAGCATAAAATTGAAGTTCTGTCCCTTTGTGTATATTTATAAACACAATACACATTTTAAAAAGGAAGGGTTTCAATCACACAACCATAAACAGGAGTTTTGGGACTCCACTACCCATTTCCTTCAAGTACTGATGAGATTCCATAGTTGGGTAATTAAATATCTGCAAGAAAGCAACCAAGCTCAGAGATTATCAAGGACTTAGTTTTGGGATTCTTGTTAAGGTCTTGGTCCTGTTCTTAGAGTTGCAGAAAGAACTTGCAGATCTTCTAGTCCAGTGGTTCTTAACCTTTTTGAACGAATCGCCCCCTTGAGCCAATGAGGAAGTTGTCATCGCCCCCTCCCCCAACATAACCTCTCAATCACAACATAGGAAATAATTCTTCAATTTATGCAAACACTTTTTTTGTTTTCTTTAAAATTGTCATCAGGACATATGATGCAAATAATTTATTTCCAGTCTTTTTCCCATATCTCAACTGTGTGAAAAACTTCGTGATACATGCATTTCATTATTATCTTATTTATTTAAGACACTTAAATGTAATGACCATTGAAAACAAAATTCAATTGCAAGAAAGTGAAATGCCCGAAAAGAAAAACATTAACATTTAATGATTGAATTACAAGTGAAATTTATGATGCAAAAAGAAATATAAAAAGGAACAAACCACAATGCAGGAACTAAGAATTTCAAGACAAAAACTCTGAAACTAAATTAAGATTCGAGGAAAGTATATATAGTCACGCACACTGTAAAAAGGATTAAAAAGACACAAAGAAAATATATCGAACTGGAATGCACGCTAAAAAAGTACAATACAAAGAGACACACAAAACAGCATGCGATGTTTCGAAAGAAGCACTCCCCCCCATCACTGCCCATTCTGGCCAATGCCGCGCCACTGTATGGGTAGAGCATGATTAGAGCAGGGGTAGGCAACCCAAAACACTCAAAGAGCCACTTGGACCCATTTCCCACCGAAAACAAAACACTGGGAGCCGCAAAACCCTTTTGACATCTAAAATGAAGATAACACTGCATATATCCTTTTTTATCTTTAATATATATATATATATTTAAAATGAAGATAACACTGCATATATCCTTTTTTACCTTTATTATATATATATCTCTCTTCGGTGTTATCTTCATTTTAGATGTCAAAAGGGTCTCTCTCTCTCTCTTCCTCCCTCCCTCCCTCTTTCTGCCCTTGGTCTGCCAATCCTCTTCCCCCACTCTGTGTGTGTGTGAGAGGGGGGGGAGAGAGGCACCTGCTTTTCCTCTTTCCTCTCTCTTTCTCTCTTTTTCCTCTCTTTCCTCTCCCTCCCTCCCCCTTCTTTCTCCAGGTGAGGAGAGAGAGGGGGAGAGAGAGGCACTTACGCTTCCTCTCTCTTTCTCTTTCCCCTCTCCCTCTCTCTGTCTTTCCTCTCCCTGCCTCCCCCCTTCTTTCTCCAGGTGAGGGGGGAAGATAGAGGCACTTGCACTTCCTCTCTTTCCTCTCTTTTTCTCTTTCCCCCCTCTCTCTTTCCTCTCCCTCCCTCCCCCTTCTTTCTCCAGGTGAGGAGAGAGAGGGGGGAGAGAGAGGCACTTGTGCTTCCTCTTTTTCTCTTTCCCCTCTCCCTCTCTCTTTCTCTATTTCCCTCCCCTTCTTTCTCCAGATGAAGAAAGAGAGAGAGAAAATGAAAGGCAGAGGGCACCAAAGGGGCGGGGGGCAGGAGGCAGCAGAAGACCCCATCGCCGCTGGAGGCACCCAGCTCCACTGCCCGCCGGGCCTGCAGGGATGCCCCAGCTCACGGTCACGTTGGCAGGCCGTCCCACATGCCGCTGGCGTCCCTAAGCTCAAGTCGGGGCCACAGGACATCTGTGGAATGCCCTGCCTGTCGGCTGCATCGCTAAGCCTCTCACGCCGCCAGCGTCCCCGGCCTTAACTTGCAGGGCATCTGCAGAACACCACCATCAGCTGCTGGAGGAGCTGGGGCCGCTCCACAACGCTCCCGGCCATCTGCGACCCACCAGTGTTGCTCAGGGAGCGATGCCCCCACTGGCCGCCACCCCAGCCAGGACTGCCACCCAGGGGTCAACAGGAGGAAGAATGGGAGGAGGAGGAGGGCAAGGAAGTCGGCGCCGGATCTCAGGAGGAGGCACTCCTGCGGGTCTGGTTGGAAAATGCCTCCCTCTCCCTTTCACTCCCCCCCCATCTTCTACTCACCTCTCAAAGCAGCCAGGATTCCGGCACGCCTTCCCGGCCAGCTGGACCAACAGTCCCACGGCTGGGGATTGCAGGGGCAGCTATCCCTCAGGGCCACGGCTTGCAGGAAGGCTGGCCCGCTAGGCTGAGACTCTGGTGGGCTGCTCCCAGCGGGGATCCCGGAGCTCCCCTGTGCGGTTCCTTGGCCACGTGCACCTGGGATGGGGCCAGCCAGGGAAATGGACTTCCTGGCTGTGCTTGTCCCAGGAGGCGGGGTGCCCGGGCGCAGGGCCAACCAGGAGCCCTGTGAGGGGGAAAATCCGCATCAGAGAGAGAGAAACAGAGAGAAGCACAAGTGCCCCTCTTTATCTGTCTCTCTCCAAATGGCGGAGGAGGCTCAGAGCCGCAGGGGCAGGCTCAAAAATGTCCCCAAAACTTCTTGCTCCATCGCCCCCATATTACCCCCTTTTCGTT